TGGGGATTTTGCAGTAACCTTCCCCTGCCATGCCCACCAAGCCACACCCACAGAACGAGTAGTAAAAAAATAATAATCCCACCACTGGATAAAACATTAATACAATAACCTTCATTTACTGCAATTTATTTTGTGGCTTTTTTTCTTAAGGAAATCAGAAAAAAATACATAAGATGGTTAAGTACAATAAGCAACTGTCAGAGTTCAAAATATCATCCAAAATTAAATCAGAGTCCAAGGGAAAGTATTGTTCAAGGTCCCAATTTATTAAGACTATTACTATAGGGAAGGGACCTAAAAATTTCAGCCCTAATTTCTTGCTAAGCATTCTTAACTTTATGTATTTGGTAGACAAGAAAACTTTATCCTCCACATGGAAGGAGGGTTGGAGTGATTGGTGCTTATCAGCTTGTTTCTTGTACTCTTCTGCTGCTTCTGGCAGAGCTTTTTTCGTATTCTCCCACCTTTTTAAGATTGTCCATCCATTCAGTCAGAGACATGGAGGAGGGGGGCTCTCTGGGCGGTTCAGGCATGGGAACAAATTCCATGCTGCTGGTAACTTGAAAAGGCGTTTTAAGGGCTTTGAGGTTTTTATGGTCAGTCCAGACCTCGAATAGCATGTCTCCCCCTCTAGGAAATATCTCCAGGTGAGTAGGGCTCACTGGACCGCATAGGCTTCTTTCTCCCAAAAGGCCCACCTTCTTTCTGTGGCAGTGAGTTTCTTGGAGACATAAGTACACGGCAAGAGTTGTCCCTCTTTGTTGTTTTGCAACAGCACTGCCACTACAGCCACATCATTAGCGTCTTCCATTCATCTCCCTTCCTGATACGTATGCGGTAATACACCTCTTTCAAGTCCAGTTTGGTGAACACTTTGCCTTTAGCTAAGTTGTTCAACATGTCTTTCATGAGGGGGAGAGGTAAGGTTTTTTATGCAAACACAGTTGATTCTCAGGAAGTCAACACAGATACACACACATACATATACACACGTCTTTCTTCTCTTTGAAAAGCACGGGGGTGCTACTTCTGACTTGGCTGGTTGGATGAAGCCCCACTTCAAATTAATACTGATGTATTTCCTTAAGTCCACCATCGCTTTAGGAGTCATGGAGTACATTTTTGGCTTCAGTAGGGCTGCCCCAGGCATGAACTCTATCGTGCAATTGGTGGGTCAGTGAGAGGGAGGAAATAATTGCAATCTTCCTCACTGAAAACCCCTGCCAGACCCCAGTATTCTTTTGGCATTTGCTGAATGCCTTGGAATTTAGTGTCTGCTGTGGGAGCTGCAGGCTCTAGACGGTCTGTTTTAAGGGGTTCAATGGTGCCTGGGTGGTCTTCTGGTTTTACAGGGGTAGTGGCCCAATGCCTAGGGTCAATTTTCAAATGCCGTCCTCCCATTTTATAGTATGTGCCCATTTGTCCAACCATACAATAGCGNGTTGAACTGCCAACCTTCTGATTGCACAAGCTCAACATCTTGGCCACTGAGCCACTGCCTCCCTCATAATTGCATCTATGAAACCAAACTATGGACCTAATATCCTCCTACAGCAGACATGGGCATTTTACAGTACAGAACACATCTGGCCTTTTGACACTACCTGAGTGGCCCATAGCAGTGGGAAGGAATGGGGGCAGCAATGGCAGCCCTCTACAACAGTTCCAGTTTCTCATGCAACCCTTTGGGAAAATTGTCCACCTATGGTCTACAATGTAAAACTTTTTCTATGGGAGTATATGGAAATTTACTTAATCAGAAAATCACTGGAAAAGGGCGTAAGTAATAAATTACATTAGAAATGGGATACTTATCAGAATAGATAATGCTAAGCAGCCCGGACAAATATTAAAGAATTTTTAAAAGAATCTACATGAACATTCATCTTTTTTCTATAAAAGGCTTAAAAGCATATAGATTTTGATTTTAATGTAACTAGAAAAGAGAACAAGTTTTCAAAAGAAATATAGTGTTGTACAAAAAAATCTCTTACCTTTCAGGTACTTCTTCAATTGGCATTGATTGGCTCTTCATTGATCCTGTCAGAGTCTCTTCAGCTCTTGAAACACTTGTACTCAAATCACATTCTTCCATTTCAACATCTTGTACTCCAATAGTCTTGCAACATTGCATGTTGCTATTGTCCTCCGGTTCTACCACAACAAGCTCTGCATTCTTAGTTTTATTAACTGGTTGAAGAAAAGCATCCAATTTTTGGTCCCTTGAGTCAGTACGGATCATCTGGTAAGCATAAATCTGCTCACTTCCTTGAGTAGCTGAAGATTTCGCTGATTTAACAACTTCAGTGGAAGGGACGGTAATGGCTGGTAATAATGTCTTCATTGCAGAAAAATAGTGATGAAAGAATATTTTAATGTTTGTACAAATTAAAGTCCTTTCCAAGCTCTGCTTTACATGAAACCTACCTTAATTTTATATTACACAATTAAAATTATTAATTTATATTAAGATAATGTATTTGGATTTTTCAGTGATTCCACAGATTTTCAATGATTTATCATAAGATGCAATACTGTTTCTTTATAAAATGAAAAAAAATCCTCTAAATAAAGGAGAATGTTATTTAGCTCAGAGTTGAAATGAGGGGTCCTTGGTGCTCTCTGAGCTTTCTTGCAGACATTTCATTACTAGTTAAGATCCTAACTTCGGTAATGAAACATCTGTAAGAAAACAAACTCACTCAGAGAGCACCAAGGATCCCTCAAAGAGCTCTCTAAACTGAATTGTGCACTTAGTTATGCAAATATTCAGCAAGAGAAGAGCTTCTCATACACAATATACTATAATCTAGTTTGGAATTATTTTCATAATATTATTATCAATAAAACATATATCATTACTCCTTTGGGAATAAAAGAATCCACTTACTTGAGTGAAATACATCCTTGATGAATTGGAATCTAACAATTTGCTCTCTATATGTTGTTGTACACGCTCCAGGATGCTGTCTTCATGGAGGAAATGTACTTCATGCTTTGTAGGATGCACATTCACATCCACATTCGGAGGTGCAATCTCAAGACTATAAAACATTTTGAGAACAGTAAGTGTAAGTTGATCAGACGTGTTCAATTACAAACTTGCGTTGTAACCAGAACTGTGGTAGTATGTATTTTTTCAAAACCAGAAGTAAATCATAACAATCCTTTAATCACACGACTGAGAGATATTTATTGTATAGCCCATTGTGCATTTTGAAACAAAACAGATACAACCAGAGGTGTATTCAGCAGGTTCTGACCAGTTCTGGAGAACTGGAAGTGGAAATTTTGAATAGTTTGGAGAAGTGGTAAATACCACCTCTGACTAGCCCCGCCCTCATCTATTCTCTGCCTCCCGAGTCCCAGCTGATCAGGAGGAAATGGGGAT